GATCAGTGTATGACTAAGTGCGTTACTATACTCAGTGTGTGAATTTTCCCAAAATGCGTTATATTCAAACGTATAGAAATATTACACATGTGTGAATATTACGATGTTTGACTATTTCAAACAGTATTAGATGTTTGATAAAATCCACACATTGAAGTGTGTGATTTCCACACATTCTCTAATGCATTTCACACGCGCATGTTAAGAGGATAATGCATGACGTTTGAAAAATTATGCATTAAATATGTGTGACGCATTAATATTCACGCATTTCAAGTGTGTGATGTGTTAATATTCACACATGTGCGATAAGGTGGAGTGGGATAAAACCGACCCAGAAATTGTAAAGTTTACTTTAAACTGATGTATTTTCTATCTATTCCACTAAAACCTAATAATCTTAGTGTTTTTATTTAGCGCATGGTTTATTCTTTAAGTTGCATTAATTTGGATCAAAAGTAACTTTTGAAACTTACGATTTTCTTAATAAATTAAAAACAGTGCTGCTAGGGCGGACTTGCCCCAGAACTGGGGCAAAACTGCACCTACCTGTTTAAAAATTATTGAATCTTATTTCCTTATATTATGGGGCAAAAGCGGAATTATTATGGAAACACCATGAACTTTCTCGAACGAGTTAAACGGGGGAATCACAGAATACATGGCGGCCACCTATGTTGATCATTGAATAGTAACCAAAGGAAGATTTCTACCTTACAGTTGGTACAATGCAACGTATATTCGAATAAATAAGGGCCTAGTGCGGATTTGCCCCGTGTACGGATTTACCCCACTGCACCTTAGATCTACTTCTAACAGTGTAGTTGTCGGTATTAAGAATAATCTGATTTCATGTAGTTTTATATTTTCCGAGGGCGAAACCGCTGAGGGCATTGTGGTGTACAGATTTGCGGCATTAACTGGGCATTACTAGACATTACTAGGCATTTTTTGGGCATTAGGCCTTGCTGGGGCCTTTTATTATAAAGATACAACAAGATAAATAAGATAAAATAAGATAATAAGATAAAGTAATGCCCACTGGGCATTAGTGGGCATTGGCGTACAAGATTTTCGTCAGCTTCTCCCTCGACATTTTCGTAAAGTGACGGGAATTTCTTTAAGGACTTGCATGATTCTCACATTTAGTATAATTTCCCCAGAAATATTATACCAACCTTAATATTTATTACTCAACATGGAATAAACTCTACGATTCGTCCCTTGATTTTTTTAAATATGTTAATGTGACGATCAATGTTTCAATGGGGAAAAAATATCTCGTTTTGTAAGTAAATATTTTTTAAAGCAGCACAATCCAAGTAGTTATCAGCAGGGAATAATGTGACAGTTCTCCTCGACGACGGCACTGATAATTATTTGGAAATAGCGTCTTATTTAATTTACAATAATTATCAATCTCAATACTTCAACGTCGCCATTGTGAACTACATAGAGGCGCCAGACTAGCAAGCGCCCCTGTGGCCTAATGGATAAGGCATCGGTTTCCTAAACCGGGGATTGTGGGTTCGAGTCCCACCAGGGGTATAAAATTATATTTTTTATCCTCGATCGTTCCAAATCACAAATATTCCATCACTAACGATTCTTGTTACATTATGTGACAGGTTTTAGCATATATGTGTTAAATTGTTGCAATTTAACAGAAGCATCTAGTTTAAAAAAATATATATAACGATACAAACTACGTTTACAAGAGACATGTATAACACAAGAATACGTTATTGATGAGAAATTTATTTGATTTTTCAAGATATTTTGTGCAACAATGAAACTACATCCGTTCTTCGTGCTAAAGTTCGGCGGCAATTAGTATCGACTTGTGATTTCGCAAGGAGAAAAAAAAGTACCTGCATAGCTCGAACGAGAGTATCTCGAGGACCAGCAGGGGAACAAAACTGACAAGAAGATAATTCCGAAGATGGAAAGAATTTCATGTAGAGAAGACTTGTAGCGTCGGTGAGAATCTGATAAGACGCTCGCTCGCCTTTTGACGGACGTGAATCGATTTCCGCGTATCTTCCGTAATATCGGCTGCGAGGGTTCGGGGAAGAAGCCGATCTAACGGCGGACAAGGTTGCGATATATCGCCTCGTGCGCTGGTCGAAATACTCAAATCAGATTGATAGCCGCGTAAATGTAGGCTGGGTGGTCCGAGTGATTCTAATGCGAGGCCCCGCTCGGGTTAATCGGTCACGAAAGCATCTCAAGGGGTTGCCCGTAGACTTGACTTTGGCCCCGCGATAAAATCGATCCTCCCAATTCAAAGAAGAGAGAGAGTAGTGGTTATTATCGGTCCTGACCGTCTCAATGTCC